AAAATATACTCGAATAACTTTATTTTTCAAAATATACTCAAATTTATAAAATTCAAGGACCTCTTCTGATCGATTCGGAGCCTTATCGGCGTCTCCTTCGGCGTCTTATCTATCTTGCTGTTATTCGCCCTGATTTGACATATTCTGTTCATATTTTGTCTCAGTTTATGCAAGCTCCTTGTCAAGCTCATTGGGATACTGCGCTACGTGTGGTTCGTTATCTGAAAGGTTCTCCTGGTTAAGGCATTCTCCTCCGTGCTGATAGTGAACTTTATCTCACGGGTTGATGTGATTCTGATTGGACTGCTTGCCCGCTCACTCGACGGTCTTTGTCTGGGTGGCTGGTTTTTCTTGGGAATTCTTCTATTTCATGGAAAACCAAAAAGCAGTCTATTGTTTCTCGTTCTTCCGCTGAGGCTGAGTACCGGGCTATGGCTGCAACCACGTGTGAGCTTAAATGGCTCAAAGCTTTGCTCCTTAGCCTTGGAATTAATCATGACAAAGCTATTTCGTTGTTCTGTGACAGTCAGTCCGCATTACATATTGCTCGAAATCCCGTGTTTCACGAACACACTAAACACATTAAGGTGGATTGTCATTTTATTCACGATGCTATCACATCTAATCTCATCGCTCCTGGCTGTGTTCCTACGACCGTACAACTCGCGGATATTTTTACTAAAGCTCTTGGGAAGACTCCGTTTCACTTTCTTCTTCGCAAGTTGGGCATTTTGGATCCCCATGCTCCAACTTGAGAAGGTGTATTATGGACCGTATATCTTTATTGGGCATTATATTATTTTGTCTATTTATGTCATGTAATATCCCTATTTTAGGACTAGTGGGTGTTTGGAACTGCTTCTGCTTCTACTTCTTTTTTAAAAGCAGAAGCAAAATTAGTTTTCAGAAGCTGGTACCTCTCAGCTTCTAAAAAAATGATTCTGGGAGTAAGGGAGTGTTTGCGATTGTTTGTGCTTTTAAAAAGTGATTTTTTAAGAGATTATTGAAAAAATGATTTATAGTAAAAGTAGGTAGTGTTTGAAAATAGAAGTGATTTTTATTAAAAGGTAAAAGTTGGAGTGTTTGATAAAAAAGTGATTCTTAATGGAGTATTTTGTTAAAGTTCAAAAATGTCCCTTGAATAAATTTGACATTATTCTATATTGAATTGACCACCCACCCTTTTAACTCGCTTTTCTCACGCATACCCCCAACACACCGACAGAATAGTGAGCGGAACATAGCGGCGGAACACAGCGTCTTTGGATCCGGCGAAGCACTCCGTCGAAGTCTGTGTATTTCTCCTTCATCATCCGGCGGAACAGAGCGGCGGCAGAATAGTGAGGAGATGGTGAAACAGATCGGCTGCAAAGGAAATACACATTCAAAAGAAGAAATCGTAAGGATTTGGGGACGAAGGGAAAGACAATTCTAATGGTGATTGATGAAAGTGGAAAGACGTTTTTTTTTATGTTGGAAGCTTGTTCTGGTACGAAGGATTTGGGGACGAAGGGTATTTCTGGAGATTAACACATATGTTTAGGAATAGAACTGCCCTTGGAGTTGCACTTATTTACAAAAAAGCCTAGAAGCAGATAAAAGCAATCTCCAACCCAGCTTTTGACTTTTGGCTTAAAAGTACTTAAATTAAGCAGAATCTTACATTTGCAAACACCACTTTTGGCTTTTTCAAAGCCAAAAGTCCAAAAGTGTTTAAATTAAGCAATGACAAACATTGCCTAAATTAGAGCACCAGAAGTGTTTCTGGAATTTCACCCAAATACTCCGACTTCTACTTCTGAATCAGTTTTGAGCATCGGATCCAAACACATGGACTATGTCGCCCAAACCGGAAGAACTGAAAATGTCTAAAAACAGAAGTCCTGCATTATAAGTGAGATTTTCGAAATAATGCTGGGTCAAACATTTAAAACTGGCCACAATTTTTCAATTTTTATTTTGATGCAACCTTCCAATGTTCTTACTTCTTAGCACAACCGATTTTTCTTTGGGAAAAGGTGCAAATAGGCCCATGTACTAACCATAAAAGGTCAAATAAACCCTTATTTAGGAAGTTCTGTCCGGTCGTCGTCATTTGGGGTGGTTCCCGGTGGATTTTTTTGATGAATTTTTTTGAGCATCTTATTCATCAAGTCTAGTTTGCTCATACCAAATTTCAGCTAAAACTTCAATCGAGAAGGCATTCAAATAAATTCTTGAAGATAACTGCGCTTCTAAGTGCGCGGTTTATTAAATTAAAGTACTAAGATAATGGAATTTGGTGGTTTATTAAGTAATTGTCTTTTTATATATAAATCGGCCAGATAACATATAAGTTGAAAATATGTTTTCTAATTGTTATTTTTAGTGTATATTCAACAGGTCACTCTTTGATTAGATAAAACTTATAATTGAAAATCATTTATGTATTTAAATAGTTATTTGTAATTAAAATAGAAGATGAGTATTATTATGGAAAAGGCCTTGCTCTTGATCCGGCACTCTGACTAGGATACTCTTGTTCTGTTTAGTGTACTATGTACACTCCTAAAATTCTGCTTAGAGGAAATAGGGTTCTCCTGTTTAGTGTACTACGTACACTCCTGTTCTGTTTAGTGTACTTCGTACACTCCTGAAATATTTTTAGAGCACTATTACTCTCCTATTAAGGTTCAGGTCTCTTCGGTGATTCCGTTCTTTCTGTTCAGCTAGCTTCTGTCAGGGATTGGTACATGTAGCTCCGGCGATTACGTTTCCATATTCCTTCTGGGTAATGTGGATACGGACTTCGATCGACCGTATTCCTTACCGTTAGTATTCCTCGATCTAGATCCAGATTCCAGAGTTTAAGGTTAAATGAATATGTATCTTTCAATGATAAGTTTCAGAATAAGAATTATCTGATCATTGTGATATCTGAATATGTTTCTGTTCTGTACACAAGAAGAATATAATAATTATTTCAGAATAAAATTATCTGACAGTTATGATATCTGAGTATGATTCTATTCTGTATGTAAATATCTGTATTTTTATAACAGCTGCTCGGTTCACCCAGGTATGTTATATGTTTGTCTGATCAGATGTGAATTATGATATGTTAATATGTTTTTTTGATATGTTAATATTATTGTTATGTTATTACCGTACCACTAGCACATTGCTGAGCTGGTAGTTGAGTGTTTTCCTACCCGTAGGTTGAGCACGGAACCCGGGCCTTTTCCCCTTTTCTTTTCCTTTCCAAAAAGTCTTGGTGTACACCCTGGGTTACACCCTGGGGTACACCATATATAAGGGTCTTCTTTTTTTTACCCCACAAAGCCAGACCTCTGTAAAAGCTAAAAACAACAAATCTCCTCTCCATTCCAAAATCGACCCATCTTTCCCGCATCCCTTCCCGCTCCTTCGTCCTCACCCCCAGTGCCGCACACCTTCGCCGTTCATCCTCATCCCCATTTGACAGACTTAACACGCCTGGCTTCTTCCTCCATTCCCACTGAGTAGACTTCGCGAGTTCGGCTTTCTCCATCCCGACTTCTGAACCCAGCTTTTTGTCAACACCGAAAGGAGAAGACCCCATTGTTGGAAGACGTAGACCTCAGAGTTTCGAACTTCTTCGCGAACCAGACTGTCTGAAATGGCGGAACGGTATGTATGAAGTCATCTATTCACTTTTTATGTTTTGGGTATGAATTTCAGTTGAATATAGTCATGTCTGTGGAAGAAATCGGTTAAATGGCAGTTGGTTCATCATGAATTTGTGAAGTGTGACTTCCAATTGCAATGTTTGTGTGACCTTAGGGTTTTGATAGTGTTGGGTTTGAAAATGGATTAATATTGCAGTGTTGGGTTAATTTTCTTCTACAGTGTTGTTTATCTCAGTTACTATTTCTCCATTATTACTTGGACTTGATTTTGAAGCAAATTCCCTTTTGTTCCCATTGTGAATAAATTTTTTGTGTAATCATTATGTTAATACAAATACTACGTGTAATGAATGACTTTGGGAATGGAATAGGAGTCCAATTTGACCACTTAGGATGACATCAAGAACTGTTTTACAATACCTAAGAGCCATTTGGAATGATCAGTGCTTTACTTTAATTTTCAGCTCCTTGGGCAGAATAATGATACCAAATTTCTATTAGATCCTATCCAAGTAACCCATATTTGTTCCATAAGTAGGTTTAACTTAATATAGCTACCATTGATAACATCTAACCATTAACAGCCCTTTCAAGGCCATTTTTTTGGTTATTTTTGTTTATCTTAAATGGACGGATTTGCTAAATTCTTAAACAGTATATTTTGTAACATTCATTAAATCCAAACCAGCAAGTAAAAAGCTACTTAGAGTCCATATGATGATTATATAGAGGGTTGAGTCAGGTTCAAATGGCTGAATTAAAAGTACTCAGTAATTGTTCGTGTTCAATGACTTATGCCTAAAGCACCAATTTGTGTATTCCATGAATGTGCCAAGTTTTTAGCATATCTGAGAGTATTTATTTTATCTTCTAGAACTTTTTGGCTCCATAATCTTATGCAGGATTTTGCAAGACTCCATTTTTTTAAACACCGTACTAAACTAACTATAACAACAATCCCAGACTCTCCGAACTCTTCATGTTTTCCATCAACCCCTAAACTAACTTAATGAAGGGATCCCTTAGTTTAACGCGTGTGTTCTGAATGGCTTTGCAGTCCGTTGAATGTTTTGTCCCTTACTAATGGCTTTGCGGTCCTATGTCGTCTCCACAACTTGCTTTAGTTTATCTAGGGGTGGGTTTTGTATTTTCGGTTCGCTGTTAAATTTTAAGGCAAAATAAAAAAATAAATAGCAAATGTATTTGAGTCTTGGTTTTTTGAGTTATATATTTCTCTTTGTGACTGTTGTTTAACATGTTAAATTGCAGGGTGCTTCAATTGCAAATTGCTGTGAGTGAACATTTCCCGGCCTCTTATTCATTATGCTCCAAGTACTCGGAAGCCGCGCAGTTCCTGAATGAGCGTTTGTCACCGGAGCAGCTGACCATGTTTAAAGACACTCCGTGGGGGCATTTGCTGGATGCTCCTGAGATGCAATTCTCAGGCCAGATCATCCACATGCTGTTGTTACGCCTAGTGCGTCAACAACCAGCCGATGAGTTGTGGTTTTGTGTGCGCGGGAAGCTCTTGAAGTTTACTTTCGCTGATTTTGTCCGCATAACCGGACTACCATCTAATGGAGAGAGGCCTGAGTTGTCCACGGATAAAAAAAATTCCATTGTTAAGAAGTTTTTCAAAGGGCGGACTGAAATTACCTATCAGCAGTTGAAAAATAGGATGGAAGAGTACAAGGCTCCAAGTAAAGGTGATCCACTACCCGGTGTTAAGCTTGCATCTTTGTACTACACACAGTGTGTTCTGCTGTCTAGAGACAAACGGACCAAAATAAGCCCAGATTTTTTTAAATGGATTGATGACTTTGAAAGTTTCAAGAAGTACCCCTGGGCGTTGGAATCATACAATGCCACCGTGAATCACATGAAGTCGCTTATGGTAGGCCAACCGAAGTTTTTCCAGGACAACAAGAAAGACGATCCTACGTACGACAAAATGCGGAATACGATGTATGGTTTTCCGCATGTGTTGCAGGTATGATCCAAATTAAACACGCCTACTTACTATATTTAATAACAAATTTTTATCACCACTTTATCCATTTTTATAGGTTTGGGCATACGAGAACATACCGGACTTGGGAAAATTAGCCGCTACAAAAGTTGGTGAAGAGGGTTGTGGATTGCTTAACTGGAAAGCGGAACGCTATTTTCACGCTGCAAAGCTTCAAGAAAAAGTATTCTTTGAGGTAATTATACTAACTCACATCACTGCATTGAGACAAAATCTGTGTAATCCCATGCTCAAGTTTGTTATTTTTTGTTCTAGGAGAGTGTGCCTGCTGACGAAGATGGGGATGATTCTGTGTTGGGACATTCGATTGTGGTGGAAGAATTAAAAAAACTAAGGACGTGTATTGAAAGTTTGGACTCTCGGTTGAAAGTTGTTGAAGACAATGTTGCTGAAATGAAGGCGCTTGTAGTTGCACGCTTTGGAAAATCTGATGAAAACGCTGCTGCGAACCCCCTATCTGGAGAGGAAGAGGTAAACATGTGTAACTTACTGCTTCTTACTAATGTCAGTGCGAACAGATGCTTCATTTTATATTGTCTGTGTGTACCGGCAGTAATAGTTTTGTGAATTTACAGGTTGTTGCTGAAGGAAGGCCCCCAGTTCATGAAGGAGGTTGTCATACTCGTGTGAACCACATTGTTGTAGAGGATGAGGTAAGCATGTATATGTTACTACTTATGTAAAGAGAATGAGGTAACCATGTATACGCTGCTACTCATTACTAGTGTCAGTGTGCACCGATGTTTCAGTTTATATTGTCCGTGCGTACCATAACTAATGCTTGTGTGAATTTAATTTCAGGTTGTTGCCCAAGGAAGCCCCCCACTTGATGAAGGACCTTCTCATACTTCTTTGAACCCCCTATCTGGAGAGGATGAGGTAACCATGTATCCCTTACTACTTATTGATAATGTCAGTGTGCACTGATGCTTCAGTTTATATTGTCTGTGAGTACCGTAACTAATACTTGTGTGAATTTTCAGGCTGTTCCCGAAGGAAGCCCCTCATTTGATCAAGGACAATCTCATACTTCTGTGAACCCTCTATCTGGAGAGGATGAGGTAACCATGTATCCATTGCTAAAAAATTAAAGGACTAAAGTTTGGCATGTCTGTCCCAGATTCGCGTTCAATCCTAGCTAGGCTTGTATTAATACATTTAGAATGATTCAATCATACAAACTAGGAGGTGTATTTATGGGGTGTATTTTTTTTTTGCTAAAGACATGTAAATTACAATCTTTTTTCGTTGTTTATGTACAAATTTTGTTTCAGCCTGTTGCAAAAGGAAACCCCCCAATCGATCAAGCAGCTTCTCAGACTTGTGTGACCCCCCTTTGTGGAGAGGATGAGGTGAGCTTGTATAATTTACTACTTACTACTACTGTCAGTGTGCACCGATGTTTCAGTTTGTATTGTCTGTGAGTACCAATGTGTTACTACATGTGTGAATTTTCAGGCCGTTGGCGAAGCAACCCACCCACTTGATCACGTACCTTCCTATACTGGTGTGAACTCTCTTTCTCAAGAGTGTCATACACCCACAAACCTCATGCTCTGCAGTTCTGAGGTAAAGCGTGTATATTTAGTATTAAATATTTGTACACATACACTATGAATGAGGTTGTCTAAAAATAATGTGTGTACATATCTCAAAGGAAGGTCTGAAAATGAAAATATAGGATTTCGATCACAAACAAAACGTATGAATGAAGTGCATTCTGTGATATTGTGTAGTTATTTTATGAATGTGTAGTTAGGTGCCGATAAATTGCATGAAATAAGTGCAAAGGCCCCATTTGAAAATTTGGACTGGGCTGATGTTGATGAAGATGGTGGGTCGGCTGCAATAGATGTCTTGGTGCTTGAAGACCAATGCCGCAAAGCAAAGCTGAAAGGAAGAAAAAGAAAGTGCTCTAAGTACCATTGTAGCCCATTCACCGATCCTACAAGAAAGAGGGCCAAAGTACAAAACAAGAACCGAAGCCCAACATTTGTAGACATACGCGATGATGAATGGCTAGAGTTGAAGAAGTGGGTTGAAGAGGATGACAACCTAGAACCAACCGTGGTTGTACTTGCTATTACGGGCTATAATAAAGTGAGCCGCAAGTTTGTCCGAGAGCTGATCGAACCGGAGGAGTGGTTGTCGAGTGAAGTAAGTAACTTTTTAACTTAATTATCCATGTAAGTTGAATTCTTTGAAGAGTAAGTTTTTTACTTAATTATTTCAGCACATAGACGCACTTTGCTCACTCATACAGAAGTCTATGGTGAACAAAAAAATTGGCCTCATTGGTCCATACTTTACGGTATTTTACTTATTCAATATGATGAACTAGTGTAACGTGTTAATACCAATCCAACATTTCCTTTCATTCACTAATGTACTGTTTTAATGTAGTATACAATTCTGAATAAGGACATTAATGTACCTAAGCACTGGGCAGAAGACAGGTTACTTCCGCGAGTTAATTGGTCAAGTTTTGAAAAGGTAATTGTATGAAATAAAAGTGTTTGTATTCAAACATTTGTTAAGTGACTGTGTGCACCGTCAGTTTTTATATTCAAACATTTGTTAACTGTCTGTGTGCACCAACGGTTTCTGTATTCATACATTTCTTACGTACCATTGTCAATAGGTTTTAATTCCATTGAATGTGGATGGCCTACATTGGATCTTGACGGAAGTTGACCTTAAAGCGAAGGTGGTTAGAGTGTATGACTCTTTGCGGAGTGCGAAATCTAAATCAACTGCCCATCATCTATGCATCAGACTACCTTACTTACTTAATGTGATAAAATGCCCCGAATCTGCTGCAGTTTCAGATGATTTCAAACCATGGCCTGCCCAGGTTGTTCCTGATGTACCGCAACAACGAGGGTATCTACTTTTGCACCCATGTTATTGGCTATGCAACATAGAGTCAAAATGTATGCAAGTGTTTGTAATACATGTTGTTGTTTGCTTTTTCAGGAGTTCGGAGTGCGGAGTGATGACGATGGCATTTGCGGAGCATTTGGCATTGGAGTATCCTTTGACACCCGGATGTGACTACGACAACATGTTGGACATGAGAAGCCAGTTTGCGGTGCGCCTATGGCGTCTAAAGAAGACTGATGTTTGACACCGTTTAAATGACATTATTAGTGTATTTGACATTATGTTTTGTACAATAGTGTTGCGCTTTTTTGTACAAGGTTGTACACTGGAATGCCAAACTATAATGCTTCCATATTTTGTCAACATTTTCATGTTTTGGATAAGAATGCGTAATTAGAATGCGTATTACAAGAAGAACCATATGAATCGTGGAAAACACTTGTTTGTGGCATAACATAGGCTCCTAAACAAAAAGGTGTGCAAAATACATACACACTATATGTGCATTTACAACACGATCAATGTCATATTCACAATATCCATGCAAAAAACATGCACACTACACGTGCAATTACAACACACCCAAAGTCATATTCAAATCTAAATCTAAATATTGAACACTTGAACTTCCGACCTCATTTCCAGCCTCAACAACCGACGAAGCTTGGCCATTTTGTTTGGTAGACCGTACCTAATAATTGGAATAATATTTGTTAGTGCACATGAAACGACAATCCATATTCATATATAAGTATAAAAATAACTTACAGTTTTGGTTTTCTTTACCTTTTCAAGTGGTCCCTTAAGGCGGTTTTTTCGTGGTGCACCCTTTCTCTTGGAAGTTTTTGGGTCAAGAATGGTTCGCGTGAGGGCAGCCTCTACCCGTGGGACAGTGTCAGGTAGTTCAGTCATCACACCAGAAATAGAAGATTTAGAGGTGGAGCTTGTATTTGCACTTATTTGGTCCTCTATCCATTGCATGACAATGTTATACTTGTCCTCATCATCAACAATGGTGTTGGCTAGTTTTTCAAAATTGTTGCATAATTGGTGAAATCTAGCTTGTTCCACCGTTGTCACCCAACCGTCGTAATTGATTTTAACGCGTGTGTACTGTCTCTTGACGTCTCTTCTCCACCTTGTCATTATATAATAGTCGGGCAACATATTTTTGATGCCATTTCGAAGGAGCACAACCACCAAATGACGACACACGATACCCCTAAATTCAAACAAATGGCAACTACACACGCCATGACCACTTTCACGGTTGAACTCAACCACATAGTTGACGCACTTGTCAAACCCATTCGGCAACTGTTTGTCCTCGCTCACGTGATATGTTAGACCATCTCCACTATGTAGGTCACAAGAAAGCTTGCCAACCATTTCAGTTTGAAACTCTTTAAATTTGTCAAGGGTATAAAGTTCTTGAACCTGTTTTTCCATGCCGTAGATACTAATGCATGGAATGTTTTTAGAAAATGACTTTGCATCAGCTTGAAATTCTAGTTCGACTTTACTTCGCAATGCCCGCCCATATTGTTCAACGAACTGTTTAAGAGATGTTTTCGAATTAACGTAATCATCAAAAAACGCATTCATGCTCTCACTACGTTGTGTCGTAGACATGCCTGCCCAAAATGTTGTCTTAAGATAACAAGGGACCCAACGGGCTCTTTCATTGTACATTGTTGTAAGCCAATCATTGTCTTGTAGAGCAAACCTGTAAAATTTAAATGAATTTTACAAATTCATTTAAGCTACACTGACCATTTTCTGTCTGTGAAACGCAAAACGTGTCGGTAAGATTTTTTTTGTTGCAGAAGGGCCTAGGCATGAACAAAGGTACACCGACACTTTCCATCTGTGAAATGCAAAAAGTGTCGGTACGGTGTCTTAAAGTGGCAGAAGGTCCCAGGCATGAACAAAGGTACACCGACACTTTTTGTCTGTGAAATTCACAAAGTGTCGGTACGGTGTCTTAAAGTGGCAGAAGGTCCCAGGCATGAAAGAAGGTACACCGACACTTTCTGTCTGTGAAATTCACAAAGTGTTGGTACGGTGTCTTTAAGTGGCAGAAGGTCCCAGGCATGAAATAAGGTACACCGACACTTTCTGTCTGTGAAATTCACAAAGTGTCGGTACGGTGTCTTTAAGTGGCAGAAAGTCCCAGGCATGAAATAAGGTATACTGACACTTTATGTCTGTGAAATGCAAAAAGTGTCGGTAAGGTGTCTTTAAGTGGCAGAAGGTCCTACGCATGAAATAACCTACACCGATACTTTTTGTCTGTACATTACATAATCTATCTGTGACACGTAAAAAGTGAAACTTAGTTAATGAATATTGGAGTGTACCTTTCGAGCATGGCTTTCCAATCTTCCTCAAAGGTCGTAATGTACTGAGAGTCATAAACGGCATCATGTATGGCTGTCATGATATCATCTTTATGTACAAGTCCACCCATCTTTTCAGGTAACTTCTTCATTATGTGCCAGAGACACCATCGGTGCCTTGTGTTTGGGAAAACGATTTGGATGGCATTTTGCATGGCCCTATCTTGATCAGTTATAATCCCCATTGGAGCATAACCATCCATACACTCAAGCCATGTTTTGAACAACCATACGAATGTTGATGTATCCTCACTAGAAATGATTCCACAACCTAATAACATCGATTGCCCATGATGGTTAACACCAACAAACGGAGCAAAAGGCATGTCATAGCGGTTGGTGAGATATGTCGTATCAAATGTAATCACGTCTCCAAAATCCTTGTATGCATGTCGACACCTATTGTCCGCCCAAAAAACATTACGCAAACGTGAATCTTCATCCAAGTCAATTGTGAAGAAAAAACCTGGACATTGAGCTTGCATTTTTGTAAAAAAACCTTGGATGGCCATTGCATCCCCATCTCATAATCTAAGTTGTCGAACTTTTTCTATGTAGTTCCTGCAGTCCTTTTCAATGAAAGGAAGTTGATCATATCCTCCGGCTTCTACAACTGCGGATTTGAAAGTTTTACAAAGACGTATTCCTGCAACGTCATTTACATCGATTTGGTGCCTAATTTTCATTGTCAACTTCCTATTACAACGGAATAATCTAGACTTCGTGGGACTCATAGGATGATTATGGTTCAAAAAAACTTGTGATATTACCCATGACCCGGCATAATCTGTCTTTGCTCTTATTCTCGCTAAGCAACCATTTTGCATGGAAGGTTGAGGTTTCAAACAGTTTTTCGACCTACTACCTCTGTTGCCTGCACGTGAGCACTCTACTACAAACGCGATCAAGTCCCCTTCTTTATCCTTCTTTGAAGTGCGGTGTCTAACAGGAAAGCCAACACTTTTGGCATACTTTTTGTAGAAATCATAAACTGCATCTTTTGTAGGAAACTCCATGCCTATCTTTGGAATTTGTTCACATTCATCAGCAATGTTATCTCCATCTGTTCACATAATCAAATAATTATTTTACATTAACTCCTTCATAGATACAACAATCATCTTTGCAGGTATACATTATTGTAGTAGGGTATATATTAACAGTATTCATAGATCATTTTTCATAGGTATACATTAACAAAATTCATACATCAAAGACTTGTTTGTAAGTATACATTAACAACATTCATACACACATTAACTCATTGTACATAAATACAACACTCATCTTTGTAGGTATACATTAAATTATAGGGTACATATTAACAACATTCATTCATAAAATCAATTTTTATAGGTATACATTAACAACATTCATACATCAAATACATCTTTGTAGGTATACATTAACAACATTCACACATACATTAATTCATATTTGTAGGTATACATTAACAACATTCATTGATAAAATCAATTTTTATAGGTATACATTAACAACATTCATACATCAAATACATCTTTGTAGGTATACATTAACAACATTCACACATACATTAATTCATATTTGTAGGTATACATTAACAACATTCATTGATAAAATCAATTTTTATAGGTACACATTAACAACATTCATACATCAAATACATCTTTGTAGGTATACATTAACAACATTCACACATACATTAATTCATATTTGTAGGTATACATTAACCATATATACATTAGTTGTCGGTACACACCGACACTGTGTATGTAAGCTGTCTGTGTGTGTCAAATAAAATACCTCCGCCATCTGCGTTTGTCTTCCCCCTGCTACTTCCTTCCCCGTCAAAGTTTTCATCATCCAGACCCTCAAAGATCAGAACTTCGTTGCCACCTTGTGTCGCAGCTCTACCACCCGTCGCACCTAAGTCTTCATCCCCAACTTTGTCCGGAGCTCCATCTTCTTCGTTCACAAATCCACCATTTCTGTCCTCCATCGCAGCTCCGTCTTGTTCGTTCACAGGTCCACCATTTCCGACGCTTAGAGCTTCTTCGTTTCTTCCATTTCCAACCTCCGTCGTCCGTCGCAGGCAGGAATCGTCCAATGCTCCATCGTTTCCAGTCCCCTGTTCATCCACCATCACATATGCTAGAAAATCATCCATGATATTCGCAACAAAAAAATAAAAAAAACAGAGACAAGGGCGGGAAGAAAGAATGAACAAGGGTGAAGGATGGGAAGAGAAAGAAACGTGCGCAACTTTGGGGAGGGGAGAGGAGGGCTGTGCGAGTGAAAGGGGTAAAGAAAGCTGTAAATAATTAGACCTTATATATGGTGTACCCATGGTGTACACAAGACTTTTTGTTTCCTTTCACCTTAATCCGTTCGTGCAGCAAACCGGCGCGCCTATTCAGCGGGTTAAATCAAGCAGTATGGACTGTGTGCGATCATGGAAGAGGGAAGGAAGGCTGAAAGTCCGCCATTTCATCCAACATCATCCATCTCTAACGTTCCACTCCAACCACACAACTTGAAGTTCACTGAAATTGCACTTCAGAGAATGTCACGATTCGATAACGCAATCCGGCTCAAGCTTTATCTGCCGTCTGAGAAGCACGTATCGCCAAATCTAGACGGCCCAACTCCAAATCTCTTATGCGGAGGTTTGTTTCTCGACCTTGCTGTACCGGCACCGCCTTCGATTTTGAAGTCGTTGTCTGTAAAATGTCGCCGGAGAACGGGGTTTCGCAGAGGAACCGGCAACGGGGAATCATTTCTATCAGTGAGCTTATCGGCAGGGGATAGAAAAAGAGATGTGGTTGATGGGAGTCCTGGGGAATGTTTGAGACCCAACGGTGATAAGGTCGGCAGTGCAGTAGAAACCGGAAGTGGAGCTGCCTTGGATCAGAAGCGAATGATGGAGTCTCGGAGACTTGGAGCTGTCAACACTACTAAACATTTGTGGGCGGGAGCTGTTGCAGCTATGATATCACGGTTTGTGCTTTTCATTTGTTCTCAGCTCTGTTATTCATTATCTTCTTTATTGTTTTTGGCGAATTACAATTGGATTTCCAATTGCAGTAGGAGTTATGGTCTATAGTTTTAGGCTATATTTGGAATGCTGAAAAAGGTAGGGAAAGGGAAATGTCCTAAAAAAGTTAATGCTTTGTTTTACATTAGAAAGTAAGAAGTAGAATAATATTTGATTAATCCTTTTAATTTCTTCACATACTTTGTATGCCATAACCATTATATCATATAGTGCCATAATCCAATTTTTGGTTTATCATGCTATTAGCATTATCAATCTGGAATCCAGGATTTTTCATAGATTAGTTTTTTTGACCCATTTGTGCACTGGGGTAAATTTTGTAATATGGAGTAATAAAAATAAGTGTGACTGGACGTTTTCTTTGATGAGGGTACTTTTTGCTGTTTTTTTAACGTGCACGCACACACATATACTTTATTATTATGAAAACATATTTAAATATAAGTATTCCATAATTCAAAAGATTGATCCATTTCAGTCATAACTCAAGTAATTATAGCACATTTTAAGTCACCATACAGGCTTATAAATATACTCCATATAATTTAAATGAGTTTCAACCCTTTTTTCTTTTCGTAGCATTTTGCTGGTTCAATCAGACCCTTGCAACAAGTCAACAACTTGTGCTGCTCTGCTCGCCTTGAAGGTGAACTGAGAAAAAGAAAAAGAAGTAGTGAAAATCAAAACAAATGAACTATGATGCAGAATTGTGTCTTTCACTGGCCATGTATTGGGGATAAGTCATCGTGAATGTTTTGGTTATGATGTGGCAAGTCTAATGGCTGCAAATGACTATAACACTATACAGTTGATAGAACACTAGTAGAGATCAATATAGAACAGTAGAGAAATCTATAGAAATCAATCTAAGAACAGATCAATCAATGATTTATTGAAGTAGGGAAGGATCAAAGACAGTAAACAGGGCCATAGACAATTCGAGATGCCTAATCTCTAAGCCAAGTCTCAACCAAAATAACAGCCTCCTCCAACAGCTGCTTAACCTTCTATTTATAGCTAATATCCACGCAGGGATGTACAAGATATTAACTAACAGATTAGTTAACTAGCTAATTGTTTTATTATTTCTCCTATGATAGTCCTTTTTAAAATACTTTATAGGCTGCTCATCCGAGTGCCTATCAACAGTCCTGTATCTGTATGGGGTATATGTAGTTGGCAAAATTTAAAAACAATAACGGTGTCTAAACTTTATAGGAGTCTTTATTTCAGCTTAGGCTTTTTATTCTGATATTACCGAACACCTTTCCTTTAAAAAAATCAGTACATCCAAAAGTTCAACCAAATACCATCAAACAGGCCCTTAATGTCATAGTCTATCACTCTATCTCTATCTGCTAGGCAGATACCAGCTGTAACTGTTGTTCCAAAAGGTGGAATCTCCCACCGTAGGACTCCCCATCTCCTGAGACCTCCTCATTTTTAAGGAGTAACTCCCCACTTTATAGGTGGAATTTGATCTTTGGTCATGACTCTAAATTATCACCTCTGGACCAAGTAAACTACCCATGAGGCATGAGGGCATGATAATGTTAGTTTAGTGACCTAAGTTTTTACCATGTCAACTCGTGAGTGCACTCTAATCCATTTCAAGGCACCTGCTACTAAATGATAATTCCATATTAGTGATGGTAATCACTTTCCTTTTCACCTACTCATCTTTCGTTTTATTAGAACTTTTGTGGCCCCACTTGAGAGATTGAAGCTAGAATACATAGTTTGTGGCGAACAGAAGAACATATTTGATCTTATTAAAGTGATCGCAACTACTCAAGGCTTGAGAGGCTTCTGGAAGGGAAACTTTGTGAACATACTTCGTACAGCTCCTTTTAAGGCGGTCAACTTCTTTGCTTATGACACTTACAGGAAGCAATTAATGAGATTATCTGGGAATGAAGAAACTACAAACACCGAGAGGTTTGTTGCCGGTGCTGCAGCTGGTATTACTGCTGCTCTTATTTGCTTGCCATTAGACACTGTAAGTCATGTTGTCGACATGTTGAACTAGGATTCTTGCTTAGTGCGGATCTATATAAAAGTATAATTTACAACAACTAAACTCTGAAGAAGTTAATCAAGACATAGTCAATAATTTAAATCTGACTTGCAATCGACATATATGATCTTCCATTTTTTAAAATGAATTTATGTTATAGTAATATAAGGGCTGTATGACACAGTAATTATAATATTGAGCAAGGGCTAAGGCCCTCACAGACTCCTTAGAATCCGCCCTGGCTGGAAGCAGCCATCTCTTTTACAAAACTAGACTAGATTGTGCCTAACAAGTAAACACGGTTCATCACCCAATGGCAAACACAAGCGTTTAATTTGCACCAAAAAATATTAAAGGAACCCGGAAAGTTGTCTGGAAAGGAACATCACATTTGATTTAACTTTTGACATATATATATATATATATATATATATATATATATATATTTCTGTCTTTATATCGCGGGTATAAACAAATTTCCGGAATCAACATATGGATGTCAAATAATTATTTTCTGACATGCTTTCTTTTGCTTCTGGATTTCTGAGTTCCAAATGCGCCCTAGGGGTACGTGTATGGAACACGGATATTATGCTACTAATGAAGGGGAGGGGAAACTCAGAAAAACGACTTCTAATGATTGAATTTATCTTAAGAAATGCGGAGTACATAGTACAATGAAATGTAATGTGGTTTGATTATTCTTATACATCAACTTAATTTTATTAGTCTTTACGAAATCAAACATGCCCTACATGTCTCACTCGGAAATAAATTATGGATTTGAACAAATTATCTATAATAAGTGTATTGAGTAATTGAGTTTTATTCTACTTTGACTTTCCTTCGACTTGTCATTCCATGATATCTTTCTCTACCTTCCCTAGTTTTTCTCATGCTCCAAAAGGACCCTAAGAGGTAATATGTACATCAGGTCAAACATCGTAGGCATATTTGCACTATTTCCCTTTGTTTTATTTCAAAAAACTTGTAAACATTTCAGATTCGGACTAAATTGGTGGCACCAGACGGTGAAGCAATGGGAGGTGTAATTGGAGCTTTTCATCATGTGATTCAAACAGAAGGGTTCTTTTCACTGTACAAGGGTCTACTACCCTCCATTCTAAGCATGGCCCCTTCAGCAGCAGTCTTTTATGGTGTATATGATATATTAAAATCTAGTTATCTGCGATCGCCAGAAGGAAGGAAAAGAATGCAGAGTTTGATGCAAAGGGATCAAGAAAGGAGTGCTTTTGAGCGACTAGAAATAGGACCAAAGAGAACATTACTGCATGGTGCCATTGCTGGTGCTTGTGCAGAAGTTGCTTCATATCCTTTTGAGGTTGTGAGAAAACAGCTTCAGTTGCAGGGGAGAGCACCCAAACTGGGTGCATTGGCAATCACTTCCAAGATAGTTGAAAAGGGAGGCATTCCTGCTCTTTATGCTGGATTGTTCCCCAGCTTACTACAGGTAATAAAGCTCTTTTTGGTAGCCACTTTTCTTGTCTTATCAATCTTTTAAGTAGTGTCTTTTGAATAAGGCTCTGTTTGGTGGTCAACTGGCCATAAGCCCATAATCGGCTTATTCTGTGTATGAGCAGGGCAATCAGCAAGTAAAAAAAGTAGCTTTTGACCCGATCGGTTGACATTATTTTTCATGAAAACTAACAATTATTATCGCGCCAACTGAATTGGGTAATAATGAAATTAGTGGAAGAGTAACTATTTGGCAAAAAAACGTAGTATAAAGTTGCTGCTATTAGTTTTACTTATTTTTAGATAATATTTTCATTAACTTATTTTTAAAAAATATTTTCAAGTAGTCAAATTAACCATTCCCGCCACAACCAAACAGACTCTTTTTCTGCCAAGAATTTAGCTTGTTCAGCCATTCCAGCCAAGCAACACTTACCAAAGCTATTTCTTAATCTTCAGGTTTTACCTTCGGCATCCATGAGCTATTTTATTTACGAGTTCATGAAGGTTGTTCTTAAAGTGGAATGACGGTACATACAAAATTTTGTATACCCCGAGCCATGGGAGGAAATTTGCTCTAGAGCAATAGATATGAGCGAGTAGTTACATCATCATAGTTTAATAGAATGTGTTGCCAATTTCACATGCTTCTTTTACTTCATAAGTTTTGCCACCTTGGGCATGTACGAGCCTCTCCAGTTCTCCTATGTTGTCTATTAGTTTGGTATCTTACATATAGAATCCACTACACAATGTTTATCTGGCAATCCTTTTTCTTATGTAGAACACATCCGATTTGTTTTATCTTCCATTTTAAAATTAATTGCTAACTCATTGTTCTTTCTTGAACCTGTGTTAGATCGACAAATAAATCTCGACATAAATGATATACCCAAATCTGTGTTTTTCTCCCAATTTTTTTTGCCTACATTTTATTTATTTATGTGAAGTTAAAATAGTTATGCTTTATTTATCTCTTTCTTATGCAAACTAGGATATATTACAAAAATGCATTCTAAGTGTTGGTGATGCTACGTGTTACAAGGAAGAATTTACAAACCAAAATCACAGCCGGAGCGAGAGTCTCTCTCTCAAGACTTCGGTACTCCTAGGGCTCGGCCGCTAGGGTTAGTATCTCCGATCTCGGATCTTGGCCGAGGATCGGTAATCGCATAGCAGAGAAGAAGATTCGGGCGAAGAGGAAGTACAGGCGATTCGAAGGGGCTGAGAGCGAGAACGTTGGTTCGGACGAAGAGAACACTGCATGGAGGATATAGTTGCTTCGTACAGGAAGATGTCGATGAAGGAGCAGGACAATGAACTTAATTTTGACGAGGAGCCAGAGGCGGGCGGCGAGGAGGAGACGGAACCAACGAATTTTCCGGTGGTTGGGGTTGTCATCACCGACCGTAAGGCCAAGCTACCCGGGTTTCAAGAGTTGATGACTTCTATCTGGAAACCAGGGAAAGCTATGTCTATCAAAGAGATCGATGAAAGAAGGTATCTGCTAAACTTTAATCATGTTTTGGATATGAACCGTGTGATAGAGGATGATCCTTGGCTTTTTGAACGAGATTTAATATTGTTAAAAGCTGTTCAACCAGATGATATACCTGAATCAATGAACTTGTTTGAGGCTAGTTTTTGGGTACAGGTTCATAATGCCCCTATAAAGTATAGGAATTTGAGATCTGCCAGGAAAATTGGTAAATTTTAGGCTCATTTATTAAATTTGAGATGAGCCATTTTGATGGAAAGCAGAGTTCTTATCTGCGAATAAGGGTGTGTTTGGATGTTCGCCAGCCTTTGAAAAAAGGTACCAATTTGACACAGGATGGGGTGAAACATTGGGTAGATTTTAAATACGAAAAACTACCCAGTTTTTGCTTTATTTGTGGTATTATCGAACATTCTGACAAGTTCTGTCCATTGAAGTATGAAGAGGACTTTGTAGCTGAAAAAATATATGGGGTGAGGCTTAGAGCAGGAGGAAGGGTGAAGACTAGCCCGACAGGATTTAATAAATGGTTATCTGATGGAGCCTCTAGCTCAGATGGATATGGAGGTCAACGGAAGTCTGATCTCGGGGGAGAGTATACGGCCGAGTCCAAGATTAGCAAGCCATCACCGCATGAGAGTGAAGATAGGGAAGAGACCCCTGGGGACCCAAAGCGCAGAAGGATATGGGATGGTCAGACTGAAGAGGGTGCCAATGGCGAAGGAATGACTCTGGATGGGCCAAAAAATGGGGAGGGGGCGGGTCAGGTCTCCTAGACTCGTCGTGTCTTCGTTGGGTGGTGGCGGGGAAGAAAACTTGTAATGGTGTTTTTATTATTGTCTGCTTTGGTTACTTTAATTTAGGTTGCTTTATTATGTTTTTCTTTTGTGCTTTCATTCCTTGTAAGACTCTTTCATTAAGGTTGGGGGAAGGAAAGTCTGCGGTAACCGTCATTGGCTTTAAGTTGCCCAATTTTGGTCTAGCGAGTTATACTACTTTTCTACAAGTGGTTAGCTCTCAGTCTCGGCCACGGGCGGATGTTTATTTGTGGTTCTTTTCTAGTTTTGTACCATTGCTGAATGCTATTTTTATGAATTAAGCCTTCTTCGAGAAAAAAAAGTGTTGGTGATGCTCTATTACGTAGGGACTAGGGAGTATTTTTTTACAGCATGTCGCACTTTGTATATCACATTCCGTCCTTTCATCTGTCCTAAGATTAGATCTGCTAATTTAAGGCTAATTGACTTTTTTAATTAACTTTTTCTCTCATCTAATTTTAGAAAATAATTTGGTAAGTTAGGGGGTGTATTGTATTACGAATTAGTGGCAAAATTTTAAAAGTCCATGGATTTTGAAAGTTTACGTGTATTCAATGTGGACTTTTAAAAGTATACAAAAGTCTAGGTGTTTTCAATGTAGACTTTTAAAATTCTATAAAAGTCTAGGCGTGTATTCAAAGTCTCGTTCATTCTTATTGACTTCTAAGATCATTACAAACCTGCCAGGAAAAAAATTTAATTTTAGAAGAAAGATGAAAGTTCCACAAAACCGACCACCCTGACCACCTCTTTGACTCACTCTCGCCAACGAGCTTCCTGTAACAACTCTTCACCGTAAATTTTCCTTTCTCCTCCCAACCCCAGTAGACTTGATCTGCCACTTCTTTCCTACTCAATGGGATCCTTGTGATTAATGAGATATCCCTTGTGTTAAACAATTCTGCCAGAATATCACTATCCCAACCCATCAACGTCTCAGATAGTAGGCCATTCACTGATGTCTTCTCCAAACCTGCCACACATTCACTAGTTACCCGGGGATTAGTTTCCTCAGGCAATCAAGGCTCCGTCCGGATATTTATAGACTTACCATTGCCAACTCTCCATCTATAGCCTTCCTTAATAATCTCTTGGGTTTCAAAAAGACTCCTCCAGACATAAGATGGGTTACCACCCACTTTGGTAGTAAGGAAATTACCCTGCGGGTAATATCTCGCTTTGAATACCCTTGCAGCCAGAGTATTGGCCTCTCTCAGAAGCCTCCACGCTTGTTTGGCCACCATAGCGAGATTAACCTCCCTAATCCGTCTAAACCTCACCCCCATCTTTTTTGGTCTGCACAAATATCCCCATTCTCTCCATCTAATTCCTTTTCCCGACAAACCATTCCACCGAAATCCATTCATTAGCACTTCAATTTCATTACACAATTCCACCGGTAGAAGAAACACGTTCGTTCATAGCATAGTTAGGAATAGCTTGAACACACTTTTCAATAGCACTTCCCTCCCCGCCCTTGACAGAAACTTATTATTATTCCAGCCTTGTATTCTATTAAAAACCTTATGTCTGATATAACCCAAAAATCTCCTTTTCCATTTTCCAAACCATACCGTAACCCTAAATATTTCTCATCACCCTCCTCCATCCCCACCCTGAGCATTTCAGATAAACCTTCACGATAAATATCCTGGACATTTCTACAGAAAAAGCTTGGACTTATTAAAGTTAATCACCTGCCCCGAAGCTTCCTCGTAATCATGAAGAGTTTCACGAACAACCTTTGCCTCATCATGAGTAGTGTGAAAAAATAATAAGCTGTCGTCAACAAAAAATGTGAGAAATACTTGAAGCCCCATGCGCCACAATCACGCCGTGCGATCTACCAGACAGTACTTCTTGTCTCCTCAATATTGCACTCAATCCTTCGGCCACACTGATAAAGAGATAAGGGGACAAAGGATCCCCTTGTCTTAATCCACTTTGCGGTACAATCGGTCCTAACTCCATATCATCAAACGAGATCGAATAGGAAACAAAACTAACACAGTTCATTATCAGCCGCACCCATCTTTCCAAGAAACCCAATGCTCGTAGCATATCACCCACAAAAAGGCCATTCTACCCTATTGTAGGCCTTATCATATCTAATTTTAAAGTTGCGTACCCAACCTTCCCTTTCCTTTTCCTTCTCAGATAATGATAAGATTCAAAAGCTAGCATAATATTATCAACTATAGACCTTCCCGGTACAAATGCGCTTTGAACCTCAGAAATACACATGTGTAACAAGGATTTCATATGATTAGCTAACATTTTTGAAAATATTTTATAAAACACATTACACAAAGAAATCAGTCTCCAATCATCCATAACCTCTGGTCTCTCCTTCTTCGGAATCAAAACAATGTGGGTGTGTTTTACCTTATCAGGAAGTCTCTTAGTCACAAAAGATTCCTTACAGAACTCCACCACATCCGAGCCAATCGTATCCCAGAATTGCTGAAAAATTTGGGGCTCATCCCATCCGGTCCAGGAGACTTGTCCGGATGCATTGAGAAAACTGCATTTCTTACTTCTTTCGACCGAAGAGGACGCAACAACTCTTGATTTTGTTGTTCTCCGACTTCTTTCCACGTGAAGAAGTATTGTTTCTCGAAAACTCTGCATAGAAGAAAAAATATTAGAAAAGTACTCCTCCACTAATCTTCCCACCTCCCCTCTATCTTTCTCCCATCGCCCTCCCTCCAATCTAAAACCTTCCACTATTCTTTCTCCTCCTCATCTTAACCGCATTATGAAAGTATTTAGTATTTAGATCGCCCTCTTGGTGCCAAAATTCCTTAGCTCATTGATGCCAGAATAGATCCTGCTGCGCTAAAAGATCCAAATATTCTTATTTACTCTCCCAAACTACGCCACCCCCCAATCATCTGAACACCGTCGGAGATAATCCATCCTCTTTACAAAAATCTACCATCCGAGCAAACCCTCCGAATATGCCCTTCCCCACCTATATACCTCTCTGCCACAAGTTTCTATCTGCCTGATTATACCTCCGTCCCTATTCATGTTCCAACTACGAATCACCACTTCACGACAATCATTCTCCCTAAGCCATATGTTTTCAAATTTGAACCTCCGCCTCCTGTTCACACCTCTACTGGTACTTAAGCGGATAAAAAGAGCCAAATGGTCGCTAGGTTTGCCTTCAAGACTCTCGCCCATTGCCTCCCCGAATCTGACCAGCCAGGTTTCCGATACCAAGATTCTGTCCAATTTTTCCTCTACCCAATTTGGAGACCCTCGCCAGCGCTCCTAAGTGAATTGGTACCCTTGAAAAGGAAAATTCTGAAGCCCGCTCGACCATACACCGTCTTGTAACCCCCTTATCACCTAAGGAGGATGAGGTACTCTACCTTTTTTCAATAGCATGTAAAATATCATTAAAATTCCCACAACCAACCACAGAAGATTAGATTGCAAGCTCAATTCACGTAATATCTCCCAAGAATCCTTCCTCTTGTTTCGCTCCGGGTAACCATAGAAACCTCTAAACCACCACTCCAGTTCTTCTGCCTCTATTCTCACCGCAACATCTGTATAATTTGATTGAGGACCGAAGGATATGAACATTAGCCCCATCACCCCACAGTAGAGCCAACCCTCCCCTATGCCCAACATTAACTACCACAAAGTGCTGTCTCAATCCAACCTGTAACATAAAACCAATATTTTAAAATTCTCCGCCTAGTTGTTGCTTAGAAATTGGAGTTCTCTTTGTTGTCTATGACTTATTTAAACATATGATAAACTAAAGAGGCGTTTGAATCTGCTTGTAAAAATTGTTTTTGCTCCTTGAGGACGCAAAAATGGATATTGAAGTGTTTGAGTGGAAGTTCAAAAGTATTTCTAAGTACTATAAATATTAAGGGGGTAAGGGGATATGAATATTAACTCACTGTGACACTCATAATCTAATAGTGTGATTTTTTCAATGTTTGTATGTAATTTAGACATAGTTTGATGTTCAAGTTTAATTTGAGTATAAGTCAAGATTTAATGGGGTCAAGCTAAGTTAGACTCTTAGGACGTGTTTACTTCAATGCTAAAAATATAACTAGGTTAATAAGACAAGCTACTTAAAAGTTTATTAACTCAAACATATGTCTACAATGTCGCTTACTAAGCATATCATCCCATGTATTAATTATTATGTTTTTTCACTTTTCGCATATACTCTTACCTTTACTTCTTTCCCTTATCATTACCCTTACCCTCCTCACGACCTCACCTCCACCCCGACACCCCCTTACTTTTTGGAAGTTGTAATTATAACACAACTCTTTAATTCTTATATTCTAAAAAATGCATCAGACCCACATTATCCACTTTTTGGAGTAGATGTTTGATGACCTTTTTCATGTAATAGAAAAAGCGTAAAACATTTTTATCAGACTTACAATTTTTATCGCTTTTATAAAGAGTGGTAGAATATAACTTTTACTTTTCTAAAAAGCACTAAAAAAAATTTTCGCAAAAATTCTCTGAATAATGTAGAGAAATTAAACCATACAAGAATAAAATCTTACTCAATTTCAATAGTAAAATCTTATTTTTACTATTGACTATAAATCTTTGACCTCCTTTTTATCTTTAAAGCGGTCAATGGTCATCCAGATTTTATTGGTTCATTTGGCTCCTCATAAAAAATGGCATGTACAGTCCCTTTCGGGACATCTATAAAATTGGAATGATACAAAGATTATTAACATGATTCTTGCACAAGGATGACACAAACAGAAAATATAATGACTTGTACAGAATAATAGTTAGCAACATCAATGTTGTCGTTGAGGAAGCGGGTGAAATGGATAAGCTGTAAAGTGTATAAATAGAAAGTATTTTGGTTTTTGTACACCATGTATTTGAATGAGTTCTGTTTTGTAGTAATATATGCTAAAATGTTGGTGTATGTCTCGAACATGGTATATGTTTACCAAATTTATTTCACAATGCTCATATGTAATTGATCATATTTTTGTGCAAACAAAAAAATTAGTCTTATTTCTCTTCAAGGAAAAGTTAGTAGTACTACCTATGTTCCCCTTACATTAGGACAGAAGGGTGTGATGCGAATATTGAGAAAAGTGAAATTGTGTGGTTGATATTAAATTAGAAATATAAATAAAGTAAGAATGAATGGTGGTCACCCAAATTTTACCAAATAGGATATAAGACAAAGTTAGTAGGACGGATGAAAAAGATAAAATTAGACAAAATCCGAGGGTGGAAAGGAGTATAATTTACGTGGTTATTTCAAGTTTAAATACAATA